CGGTATATTAGCGTTGTAATTGCGTGGGTGCGTCGCCGCGTTTCACGCCCGACCAGTGGCCGTTTATGCGAACCGATGATACGCGTGAATGTGTGAAAGTGAGAGAGAGAGAGAGAGAGAGAGAGAGAGAGAGAGAGAATAGAGAGAATACGAAAACTCATTATATATGACAAGAGAACAGAAGGTCGATTGTTGTGCGTACGAATGTGTGCGAATATGTGTCGGAACGAGATACAAAACGTGTCAATTGTAAAATCGTGCGTTCAGCCTCAATACGAGTCTCGTGACTTTCGAGATACTTCTAAAATCGATCGGATTATACATATGATCTTGATCGATTTATAGATCAAAAGTGAAGACTGACAAATTATGTCAAAGTACAGAATGAAAAATCTATGAAAAAGTGTCGTGCTTTGTACAATTTTGTATGTAATTTGACCAAAATTTTCAGAGTGTCATCATTGATTTATTCCTTGTTCTACGACGGATAAAAATACTTTAAATTTAAATGTATTTATTATACTTGACTATTTTATCACTGCAATTGACAATTGTACGGTGATTGTTTCATATACAATAATTTTAAGATTATTGATAAATCTATTTGTTGAAATCTTAGATTCGGATTAAAATAAATAAAATTGCGGATTCAAGCAATACTGATTTTCAGCGGAAGAAGCTCCAGTATTGCGACAAAAAAGAGAAACGATATTTGTCAAAGAGATTGTTAAGGCTGAACGCATCTTAAGAAAGTGCAAGAGCGCAGTGTGCGGATTGACTTTAACACCAAAAATAATGAGAAAAATTCCTTGCAATACAAAAATTAATCTTTAGAGACCTAACTTTTTTCACAATATGTTGATAATTATCTTGAAGTCGAATATTTTGATGTAAGGAAACATCGAATATTTTGATGTAAGGAAACATATTGAAGCGAGATTTGTTAAGTATCTTGTGAATTCGGTAGTCGCCCGATGCGCTGAATGCGAGTTTTGTTAAGCGGAATTTAGCATTGAAGTTTCACTGTTGTTGCGTTTGTTAAGTTTGACGATTCGTGAGATTTCGTTGTGAGAGAGCAAAATCCTTTATTCTCAATCGGGAGAGTTAAGGCCGTCGCATTTCTCGCGATGCTCAAACGCTTTTTCCCGATTGTTAAGCCTGAGTGAGCTTTGTCGAATATATAGATATATCGATATAATATACGTAGGACTCCCAGTTTTTCGCTGAACTCATTGTTAAGCGACGCTTAAATCGGTGTTAGGTCCGCGCCAAGTCCGACGCGCGAGTCAACGGTACGCGAACGAGCGAATCGTTAGCCGATTATAAAAAAGAAAGAAAGAAAGAAAGAAAGAAACAAGAAAGAATCAACAGTAGATATAGTAGAGCGTAACAACTTCAAAGGGGTAATACTACCGTTGTTTCGTTGATTGTTTTCATAGATTTTATTGCATCGCGACCGCGTCGAGGCATCCGCGATCGGGAAGCAAGCACAAAAGGATAATCGCTCCTTAATTCGCGGGAATAATTAGTGCATCGCCGTTTCCGAAAGATAACACAACGCGAGCTACGACGTCTGCTATGCGTCAGTAATTCCGTTCAATCGTATAACTGTGCTTAATAGCCTGGGATTGAAACTAGTAGTGCCGATTAATTATTGATAATAAGTATGATATTGATGATAAGTGAAGAATCGAATACGTTCGTGATCTTACAAAAATGAAAAAAGGCTAAATTAAAAACTCCAAGAGTTTATTTATATCGAATTATTTTAATGTAATTTGCCTCTAGATGTACTGTTTGTAAAATAAAAAATTATTACGATAATAAATTCATTAGAAATGTTAAAATATTAATTCGTCAAAATTCGACAAATTTATTTGAAGAAGAATTGGAGATTTAGAATTGATTACCGTTATGTATGTATAAAATATAGAAATTACATATTTATGTTATGCATTGATTTTAGTGGCATACTAGAGCTGCGCGTTGAAAGGACGATCGTCGATCGCCTATGCGAAATAGATCAAGGGATCAAGAGAATTCATAGGTAACACTACGGAGACGATTTCTCCGCGTATATCGCCTCGGAAACGAGCGATCGATCTCGACTCAGCGATTTCGATCGACGAATTTAGTCAATTAGAGTATCCTATCGATAATATTTCCCATAGGTGGAGCCGGACGACCGTGTGAGAGGCCCCGGATTATAGAAAGAGATAAAAGATATATATAGATAAATAATATATGTAGTATATATGTCGGATGTGTACACAGGACACACACACGCACGTAATAATATTGACCGCTTTTGAAAGGATCGATCGCGCGAGAGAGAGAGAAAGAGAGAGAAAGAGATGGAGCGCACGCGACGCGGCCGCGGCTAGCCAGGACTATTTTTCTAAGTTGCAAAGTATAATAAATTAAACGACGTTGCATTATCGTTACTAGAGTATATTATAATGTATATTGATATTTTAACTAGGCGAGATATAAGTATGAGATAATGTTACGAGCGGGTGTAATATAACGAGACTAATATATCATAATTATTATCGCATGATTATCGCGCGGACGATAATCGATAAATTAGCGGGAGGTTCGCACGTGCGGTCGGTGCGCGTGTGGCGTGCGCGGCGCATTTAATTAAGTCGAGAAATCGCGAGAATCGACGAAATGCGCGGAACGCGATTCGCGCGAGCGAAAGCGAGAAGGTAAAGGTGGGATGCCCGGGTTGAGAGATCGTAATGAAGAGTGACGAGAGGAATAAGCGCTGTACGTTCCGCTGCGATTTTGTCGATTTGCAAGGAAAAATCGAGAGGAAGGAGCAAAAGAGAGATCGATAATAGCAGGATGAATGAAGTAATTAGACGAGTAAACGCGAGTATGAATGAGTGGAGGGAGCAATGAATAAGCGTGCATCGTTCTTCGGCCGCGGAGAGTAATAAAAGAAATAATTGAATCGTTCTGTCAGTCACCTCACCTATATTATACAATATCATAATAATATGCTGCCATACGATATAAATATATGTCTACGATAAGGAGTATATTAATAAAACATTACAAATAAATATGTTATAAGTAATCGCCTTGATGCGTATATCGGCGCCCTATTTTTTCCTTCTCAATCAACTCTTGGCACGAAACACTTTTGTGCAATCTAATCAAGAAGGTAAGTAGCGCGATTGATTTATTATTGTACTTAAAAAGATGCACTATTTTTTAACCGAGTTCATTAATTTTTCAGTGTTCTCATAAATTTTAGATTTTATCTTAATATTGCAAAATATAAAAAAAGAAATTGAACAAATAATAATAAAATCTCTATTTTATAGCTTATATATTCAACAATCCATGTAAAATTTATAAGCTAATAACTCTAAAAAACAATTTGATCAATTAATGCCGTTTCTTTATTTTTTCAAGTAGGTTCATAATGATATTAAAATTACATAAAACGCAGTATAAATTATATGTCTAAAAGATAAAAAAAAAGAAAAAATAATAAAAACCGATCAAATTATTATAGCTTAGAACTTTATATAGGTAATTCAGTATATTTAATTTGCTATTTTTGTATGCATATATATATATATATATAGCATTTTTATTTGCTATATGCAAATTAATTGTTTATGAAAGAGTAAACGTAAATTTCACGTGTGTCGTGTTTTCAAATGCAAAAAACAGTAACTAGCAAAGGATAATACTAAAATGTTTATAATTTACTGCTAAACATGCTTCTGACTTATATAATTTAACTGAATACTTCATGTTCGCGAAACTCGCCCAGCCGGTTTGCGAATGAACTAAACCAAAAGAAATCTGTCATCCGTAAAATAAATTTCTGCTTCGTAAATCAGATACGTACACATTTTCTCAGACTTTAAGAGATTCCTGACATTTCCTGCATTTCATTATCTCGTTAGAGAGATCTAAGAGAATTATCTGTCAATTATATGATAAATTCACAATTGTTTCGAAATTTATGTAGAAAATATTCGCATAAAAAATCAACATTCAATCTTACACTAACTTTTTTAATTTGCGTAAATGGACAATATTAAATAAGTGTCGGATATTACGCGAGAAAACACGGCGCGAAAAATTCATTGTGAAAGTTATATATTGACACGCGTTCAACTACGCGTACGCGATTTCTGTTTTGCACTAGAGGACGGTATGACACAGTTACATCATGACATCAAACGCGGTTATTCAACAGAAACGCATTGACGAGCCAATCGATTAGACATTATTATTCATAATTGGAAATATATCCTTGAATTTGAGCACCTTTCGCACTTGAAATGTATAAGATAAGTAAAAATAAATTAAAATTAATAATTAAACAAAAAATAACTAAAGTAATTCAACAAAAATGTATCGATACATCAATCATCGACAAACATCAATCGATTGACGGTAGATTACAAATGTAGATATGTTTGATTTCTACATGTTGCAATTTTGATGAAACGAATAAAGGGAAGATTTAGGTCATTGTATTATAAAACTAACTTACTTTTTTTCAACCTCTGATTATATAATATTTCAACACTGTGTGCAAAACCGATATAGAGTGCGAAAATGGAGAGAAAGAAAAGGAATGCATAAATATAATTAAAAAGAAAAGCAGATGACCCAAAATAACAAATTTTTTTTGCCAGCGCAAACAAATTTCTTTGAAACGGACTCGGGTAAATGCTGGAACAGTCGTCAGGCTCCGGCAAGCGGAAAGGTGGTTGCGCAAAACGAACGCTGTCTGTCCGCTAGAAGTTACATTACTGCAATACTTGATTCTAGCCTTTGCCGAGTAAAGTTCGCCCGGGTAAGTCTGGCGGTAAAGAAAAACGAAAAGCATGTCTTGTCGATCGCGCGACAGAAACCTGAGGTGCGTCGACGAGAGAAGAGGAACGAAAAGAAGAAGAAAGCGTGGAGGAAGAGAAAGCGCGGAGGAGAAGAATGCAACGACCTCTGCAAAGGATACGAGCCTTCAACGATCCAGTGGCAAGATGCAGCCAGTCAACATTTTTCATCGTGCTCTTCTCGTTTTGCTGATAATCGCTATCACCATATCACTCGCTAAAACATTGCAACCCGGTGAGCGCGCTAACAAATCTAATATTGTCACGATATCGATAAATAGATTACGCGACTTTTTTATAATTACGTGATTTTATATACATCAGGCATCATTAATGCTTCGTACTTCTAATTTAAAATGTTTGTTTGTATTTAATTTTGGAGTTTTCAATCAATTTGCATTACCTTTAATATATTTAAACGTATCGTGTCTAAATATTATCATTGTTACCTAAAAAAAGATGCAGAATTTATTAATTGATTAAAAGCCAGCTACAAAAATAAAAGCTAGATTGAAGACAAAAATTTTAAACCACATAGCATTTTAATGATACCTGCTATACAAATCGCGAGTTTTTAACAATCGCGTTTATAGTGGTGCTTGTTATGCAACTGTCGTAGATTATTACATACGGGTTAAGAGTCGCCAGAACCGGAATGCTCCGATATCCTTGTTGCGCTTGCCGGAAACAAAAGAACATAAAATAAATATCGCGTGTATACACACTCACTATACACGCAAAGCAAACATTCGCGATAATTCACACATGAGAAGTACCGACTTTGTGGTTTCAAATTCACATTTGCATGCGACATACTTTCACGACACAACTGTTATGATTGCCTACGTGATGCAATAGCAATACATGTGATGAACTAAAATGGACAATTGCGAACGCAGAGTATTACGTTTGTCAACGCGCAAATCGTACTGAAGCGACACTTGTGCAAATTATAATTTGCGGGTGTTCTCTCGGGTGAAAGTGAAAAGTGTGTAAGTGGGGTCGCGCAATGAAGCGAATCGAAAATGTCGGTCAATAGTATTTGATTTCACCATTAAGGTTCTTTCATCTTTCCACACTGAGACGTCTTTATTTTTACAGTCAAGCTTCTCGCGGCACGAAATCGTGCTATGCTGAGGCGAATCACCATTTCTCGTGACGAAAAATCCAAAGTTTGCTATGGTAAGAACAACATCAACATTAATCTTGTCTAGAAATTTCAATCGCGTGTTAAATACGAACGAAATGCGATATAAATTTCATATAATTACAATAAAATTTATTTTCTCCACAAATATATCTAAAAATAATTTTTAATTTTTTTAAGCTAAATAAAAATGTAAATTTTGCAACGCAAACTCAATTAATTCTTCTGAATTCTAATGAATGTAATATTTGTTTTAAGAAAAGTACAGATATTTATATTCTGATACAATATATGTAAAATATTTCAGATTTAGTTGGTTGCTTCGCGGATCCGCCGCAGCATTTATCGATAAGGCGACCACCTGAGCATCCTAGAGTGATTCAAACTAGATTCTTCCTCTACACGCGCACAGACCGACAAGATCCGCAAGTCTTGCAATACGGCGACAATCAGAAATCCATCGTGCATTCCCAATTCAACACAAGCAAACCACTCAAAGTACTGATACACGGTTACAAGGGCAGTGGAAGTGACGCTAGCTTCGTACATGGCATAAATTTACTTCTGGATACAGTAATGCTGAACAATTTATTTTGACGCGCATTTTTCTTCGTGATTTACCATTATAAAATTCCTAATCATTACCAAATTGTCAAAGTTTTATGAAATATTGTCTGTAATTTCGTGCGCAGGTAGACGCAAATATCATCGTCTTGGATTGGACGAAAGGCGCGGGCACGAGTTACGGAGCTGCGGTGGCGAATAGCGAACTGGTCGGCCGACAATTAGCCCTAATTCTCCTAGACACCGTCAATTTGGGAATCAATGTTATCGATATTCACGTAATCGGTTTCAGTCTAGGCGCACACGTGGCCGGCTGCGCCTCGGAAGTATTGAAGAGAAAGAATCTACTTTTGGGTCGTATAACCGGTCTCGATCCGGCGTCGCCGTTCTTCAGGCATCACCTGTTCAGAGAGAAGTCGAGAAAATTGGACACCAGCGACGCTCATCTCGTTGATGTCATTCACACCGACGGCTCGCCAGATTTCGCGGACGGCTTCGGCCTGCTCAAACCGATTGGGCACATCGATTTCTTTCCTAACGGCGGCAGAGAGCAACCCGGTTGTACCGACGTTAAAAATTCGGTAGTGGTCAGTCATTTAAACGGTGCGCATTTAGAAAACATTTAATACTTAACTTTAGCATTAACTTTTCTAATTTCATTATGTTTTGTATGTACATATATATATACACAAACATAAAATTTAATCTGCTTCTCATTAAAACATGTTATATTTTTAAAATTATAATACTAGTCTGTTAATTACTCATTTTAGAGGAATTACTGGACCGGAATATAGCATGTAGCCATCTTAGAGCTTGGTTCCTCTTCGTAGAAAGTATTCGCTCGCAGAATGATGAGTGCAAATTCATCGCATGGCCCTGTCCGCACGGAGGAATATCTTACGCGAAGGGAATGTGTTTTCCTATGGCGTCGACCAATTGGAATCAAGAGATGGGTTACGCGGCTAATCGCGGACCTTTAGGAATTTATTATTTGGCAACTAAAGCCGAAAGACCATTTTGCGGTATTAGAATATACGAAAAATTTTCTATAATTGAAAGATTTTCTATAATTGAAAAACAAGTAGTCCTTAATAAAATTTATATTTACACGATTTGAAAAACAAGCTCGGACAATCATGTGTAAAATTAATGTTATAGCAATGTGAAATTATTTATAATATCTGCAAGTTATATAATTTAGAATTCTTAGACAATCTTGTATACTTTAGGTCAACCACTGAGAGCATCAGTGATTACATCCGAAAATGTTCCAAAGACATCTGGCGTATTGCTCTTTAAAATTATTCTCGGTAACTCCACGACGCTCTTCAAAATCCAATGCACGTAAGTAAAAATCGTGTAAAGATAGTTTTGCTTCAAGTCAATTTATATACCCTCCGAACACATTGTGTGTGTAATATTGTAAGTTTAATAAATTTGATAACATCGTATTAAAATTTCGAGAAAAACAAATCTTCGAGATTCTCCCGACAATTATGTTAATTTGCTCATGAAAAAATTGTTAGTTGCTTTAAATGCTATTCAAGCTTGTCCAAACGAACAAACAACTGGATGGCGTTCTACAATATTGCGGCGGCGAAATTCGACGCTTTATCAAGAGATACTTCAACGATCATTGGCGTTGTCTCGTATCAGCGCATCGATAATAAGACGGAAGAGGATACTACAGAGAATCCGAACGCGGATGTAATACTATTCAATAAACTCACTCTCGAAGATCGTAAGGGTAACAGGTAATAACGCGGGATAATAACTTAATAGAAACTCGCTACATAATTATCAACTTTACTTGAATAAAAAGAAAAGAAAATATATAAAAATTTTCTTCTGCATCTCATTGTACTCAATTAAATGAGAATAGCTATATATGTATATGTAATTAAATTTTGTTCTTATCAATCAGGTGGGAATATTGCAAAACGGACACCGCAGTCAATTCGCACGAGATATATGTAGAATTGAAAAATGGACACTGCACGTCAGTATAATTTAATTTCAACAATAATGATTTTGTCTGATAATGATCTGAATAAATAAGCTATTTACAACTGGATATTTTTTTATTAATTCTAAATCCTTTAAAGCAACTCTGCATATACTGATCATTCTATTTCATATATATATATACATATAAAATTGAAAATTATTATTTTAATAATAAAATAAGAACAAGTTGTATTTACTCACCGGCATGATGCGCAGCAGCAGAGTTGTATTCTGCAAAGTTAATCTGTAAAATACAAAAAGAAACATTTAGATTATAGCAGCGTGAATAAATCACAATAATTAGTACTTAAAAAACAATTGTGCACATTAAACTTTTTATTTGTTTTTTAAACAGATAATTGACAAAAAATTATCAAAAATTTTATTGTTTAAAATAATAATAAATGTAAAAAATGTAATAATTATGAATATCAAAATATTGTAAATATTTTACGAAATATTTCAAATATGTGCAATACATAATTATTGACATACAATATTTTATAAATAATGGATAACAAATAAATGATTCATTATCTTCAAGTTGCTCCGCCGGCGCCTGATTGCCTGATTGCAAACAGATATTACTTTATCACAATTACAATTTAATAAAAAAACTCAACTTTATGTAACGATAAATTACATCGTTGTATCTGTTTGCAGAATAATTGTTTTAACACGAACAACTATTATATACTATAATTACTTAGATAAAAAAGCGATATAAAATTAAAAACGCAAAATAAAAATTATAGTCAAAAATAAAAAAATCCACGTTAGAGTGCACTAACAGCTAGGTCGAAAATCTATATACACTGTTCAATTGTGTGTGACTCAGTAACCACCTGTATCTTTTGTGCTAAAAATCCGTAGAATCGCCGTCAAAAGTTTAATCCGTGCTAGTTACTAAACTATGTGGAGGCCAGTCAGTAGCGACTAAACTTTTGATGATGATTATACCCCCAAAAAGGGAAGTTTGCAAAGAGGGGATGAGAATGCTGTTTTCGTGGACCTCGTTTCGTAGGGTGCATTCCAATACCTACATATATAGTTAGTGACTACTGAGAATGATCAATCTATAGATTTGCGAACAGATTTCGAATAAATCGTAAGCTACTTCAAAATGCAAAATAATACTTATAAAAACTCTACAAATATTAAACAATATCTCAACTTGAAAAAGTTGAAGTAAAATTTTGGGAATTACTAGTCGGAAAATATAGCCAACCAAAATGAAAAAAAGAAAAACGTTTCGCTAGATCTGTATTGGAACTGCTAGGGAAATATATATCTTATATAGAAAGTGTCCTCCCTCGCTTTTTCTCTCCCTCTTTCTCTCTCATTGGTCATTATATCCTTTTATTTTCTATATTTAAAAAATGGATCATATTAAATAAGCTTTAAATTTCAAGCAATTTTAATTACTTTAATAGGCGGTTCACTTGACAAATAAAACTGGCAGAGAGAGAGAGCAAAATTTTTAATTATATAATTTGTGGTTCCTTATCTTTCTTTTTCCATGTATTATGAGACGCTGCATGCTAAATAATAAGATGCTAAATAATAAGTTATATAATGTTAAAATGTTAATTACTGATCCAGTGATTAACTTGACCAGTAATTAATCGGCGATTAAATTAACCAAAATTCGTTAAAGTCACTTTTGGTAGCTTAAACTAAATTTAATTGTGAGCATTATTGTTATTCATGAAAATTATCTATGTTTTTTGAAAAATGGTAAGTAAAGTTTTTTTTACTATAATATAAGAATTTTTAATAATAAAAATTTTAGTACTTCTTGAGATAAATTTATCAGAAAATATGATTTAACAGAATTAATTTATAAACAGCTTTATTATAATTTGAAATGTTACAGACTATACTACTGTTTTTTTATTTTTGGATCTGGCACACATCAAAATTCTGTATTAATGGATGACTTATTGATTGGTTAGGATGGAAAAATTTTCCAGAAATTCTCTATCTGACAACCAATTACCGCATCCGGAAAACTTGGCCATATACGTCAGCCACTAAACCAAAGTGGAAAATCGTTGGCTCCGCATCACAGAATTGAAAATATCGACTATTGTAAAACTGCTCTGTTTTTATCTTTATTTCATTTTCAAAAATTTAATTTATTAAGCTTAAAACTAAATCAATGAATTATTAAGGACATAATAAAATGTAGCTAATTGCGATGCGATAAAACAAAAATCAACTTTAAATAATTGTAATAGATAAATAATTAATATTAACTAATTGCTATTATTGTCCTACACTGTATTATACATTGTAATGTTTTTAGGTAAAAATTAGTATTGCTTGTAAAGAATCCAAAATCGACGATAACGCGAACTAGCGTTTGTGTCGAAAATTAAAATGGGTAGCTCGCCCCTTTTATTTATGTGACGTATACAGGGTGATTCAAAACAACCTGATATCCTTGCAATGCCATATTCTTGAGCAAATTCTGAGACGATTTTTTCTTTTACAAAATTTTGTCCGAAGCTTAGTTTTCGAATTATAATTGAAAATAGTTTGCTACTTACGAGTCCGATACAATGGGCAGACAGGGACAGTGCAATGCGTCATAAGACGACAGTAAACTTGACAGTCTCATTATACGTTGCGCATCCCTGCCTGCCCGTTGCACCGGACTCGTAAATTGCTATTATTTTCAATTATAACTCGAAAACTAAGCTTCGGAGAAAATTTTGTAAAAGGAAAAATGGTCTTAGAATTTACTCAAAAATTTGACATTTCGAGGAGGACAGTAGATTGTTCTGAATCACCCTGTATATACTCTATAATTTGCTGAGAAGCATCCATCATGGTCTTTTTTTTCCTAACACAAACCTAAGTTCTACGATCTAGTGACATAGCTTCAGTTATTGACTATTCATCAAACACAGTTTTGTATACGTTTTAGAAAGAGTGCTTATTTATTCTGGAAAATTTGATTTGGTATCTATTTAGTAAGTATTTTTTGTGTTAATCATATCTCATTTTAAGTTTCTCGAAAAATATTATACAAAAAATTCAAACACATTGTAAAATTGATTAATTTTCGTTATTGTTTAGTACACACAGTCACAGAAATGCCTTAACACGTAAATTTGTCAACAAGTGTCAAGACACATTTGAATTGGCTTGTGAAATTTACACTCGTACAAGTTCATGTATTAAGGTATTCCTGTGACCGTGTGTACGTATATGAAACACTTTGTTTTAAAACAATATAGTATGATCGTGAATGTACATGCAAGTAGAAAAAATAATTGCGAAATTGGAATAAGAAAATCGCAGGGATGATATTTCTTACATATGTATCGTAAGATTTTTTCTACGATCATGGTTTTTGTTTTTTTTTTCTTTCATAGGTTATGATGTCACAAATGACAGAAAAAGATAAAATGCTACAAGAAATGTTAAAAGCGAGATTTACGGCAGCAGTTAAAGATATTTTAGATGGAAAATTGCCTGAAAGAATCGCTGCAAGGCAGTACGGACTTGACTGGAACGAAGTATATTTAGAAATAAAAAGATTTCGACGTTCTGGGAAACACGCGCACCAATACAACGCACAAGCTATTTCAGAGATGGCATTCAGATCGAAAATAATATTAGAAAGAAGTTTCGAAGCTGGAATGTCCGCGCAAACGTCCCAAACGACGTCCAATGATCCTAATGATTATGAACCTAGGCCTGATTTTGACCAAACACCTTGGTTTAACTAGACACATTAATTATTAAACAAATAATTAAATTCGACGCGAGTTTAGCAGGCAACAGTACAAACACATCTAAATTTAAATAAATACTTTTTGTCTCTGCTCAATATTTTATTCCTACTAAAACACTCTAAAAATAAATACGTTAACTGCAAAAAGAACTTAACAAATTATTGCTCAAAGTTGTAAAATAATATCAATTGTGTTTCTCAGATATTTATAAAAATTTTATTGTACATGTGATCTATCATTTTAATACTATTTTCTTAGTTTTACTAGAATCTGCTAAAAATACTAAATAATATTTGTAATTGTGTAAATTATAATATATCATCACAATAGTGTATAACAAACGGCGACTTCCAAAACACGCATATCGTTCATGTACATATGTAAATGGCATTAGTTCAAAAACATTACCAACAACAAAATTTTGAAGTATATAACTCATTACATTATTCATCCAACAAAAATTTATAATTGTATCTAAATGAACAAAATAGAACATGTATTACTTTATTTTTGTTTCGTCTGTTATAAATATAAAATTTTTTTTTTTTAATTTTGATGACTGCGTTTTAATGCCTGTTCCTGAAAATTTATTAACTTAAAGATGTCTTTCAACACTGCAAATTTTTATCTATGTTATACGAATAACACGTACATATGTAGAATAATTCAAAATTTAACAACAAAAAAATAAAAAAGATAATGGTGGATAATATCGTTTTGCAGAAGTCGCGTATGCGATAAAGAATCAAATTACATGCATTGAAAGTGAATAATAAATACGCGCATAGCACATCTATTTAAACTATCTACAACTTTTTATATATTGTCTCATAAGCAAATTTGAATACAAACGCTAATAAATATTCTGTTCGCATTTCATATGACAGCATAACATCTATCTTTATATCGATTGTTAACAATGTAAACAATTACATTCATTCTAAACTAGATTAGTATCAATAAATTTTCTCTCAAATGTATCTACTTTTTTTATATAACTTTTTATAAAGCAAGAAAAAATATATATTCTTTATTTTACTTTTATAACGTATATTTTTGCTACAAAAAGTTTATAAACGTATGTTCTAAAAATGTAAATAGTAAAATTTTCCTTACTTTTATGTATAGAATTTTTGAAAATAGAACAAAACAAACTCATTGATAAAAAATACTTTTTTATCATATTCTAAATTCTGATCATGTAATTAGACGAATGTGAAATAATGAATAAACGGATGTATATTGCATAGAAGAAAAGCAAGAAAGAAAATCTCAATTAAAAATACGAAAGTATAATTGCATTGTAATTATGTGTTTATCGTTCCTAAAAATGAAACCGGAAAGCCGGAAATATTTATCATAAATAAATAAAAAAATGTCACCCACATTATCGAAAACCGACTAGCCTATGCACTTGAGAAAAATTATTAGAGAAAAAAAAATTGTCAAACTATCTACGTTCATAGAAATAATTAAACTTTTAGGAATGAAAATAGCTAAATCGTTATGTAAATCAAGAGTGAAAGCAAGAAAATACTATAGTTGCAAAAAATTAAAATATTAATATAATTTTAATTATTTTTCTTGTTGTAACATACTGCACCAAAATGCGTATAATTATATGAAAATATATTTTACTCCATTATAGTTTGCTCCGTAAATATATTAGGATTAATAAAATAAATGAGCACTCACATGTATGCATTAAATAAATTCACTCACCAATTGTTCACATACGCCATTGATGTCACTGTCGTTTCGTTGATCATTCTTTTGCCTTGAATACTCATACGCATATCATATATCTCATATCTCCTAAAAAAGACAACTAATTAAGATTGCGTGCATTAATTAATACGTACAACAATCACTTCAAATGATATTTCTGACGCTTATGGCATGCATAACATACTACACAAATAAATGAACGCGAAACACAGCTATTGCTAGGCGCTTCGAATATTCGTTAAAGGAATGATACACTTGAATTAAAATGTTCAAAGTACGCGCTGACTACTTCATGCCGAAGCAAAAATTTACGAATAATGTGAGAAACTCGCCATCTATGAAAAAATATAAGTATATATGTGTGTGTGTATGTGTGAAACTTGATTACATATACATATACAATGTGCCGTTCGCAAGAATAATATTCATGATGTAATCAATTTTGTTATGTTATTTGACAAATCATATCAAGGACTTCGCAAATTTTTATTAATATGACGCTATATTAACAAATCATGATGAAGAACACAAAGCAATTAGTCATGACAATGCAATAAGTTCACTCACCGGTTTGCCACAAAACTTCTCGATGTTTACCGCAAGAACACGAATCAATCAACATCGCGTATGTTTATTAAGATACAATGATTGTCTCGCATTGCATTTTCAATGGTTTTGGTATAGATAACGTGCTACGAACGAATAAATGATGAAACCGGTTTGACACCGTTTCGAAATAAAAGCCATTACTCTCACACTCCCAATATTCGTTAGACAAATGATGCACTTGATTTGACGAATAATTCAAAAAACAATCCGACAATTTCGCGTCGGTGCACCGACGCGCAAAACTGCCATCTATGAAATATCATTAAAAACCTATACAGCTGTGTATAGTTACCAACTTTTTCGATTGATAAGATCAGAAAAAATTAAAAAATATTGACATTTGTAATAATATGCATTGGTTCACGTTTAGCTTTGTGCGCACATTAAACAGTAAGCAAAATGTAATATATCAAAATAAATGTAACAGTATATGAGTTACTTTTTAACTTATTTATATGTGTGTGTGTGTGTGTATGTGCTATATAAACATAACCTATTAAAATAGTATAATTTGATAAACTATTTTATTCTTTTTTTATTATTCTGTATTGGTAAATACAAGTATAATTTAGTTTAATTCAGAAAAACAATTTATTTTGATTTAAATTTTATTAAATATATTTTTATATAAATTACAAAAAAATTCTTTGTAATTTCTTTATAATTTCTCTCTTCTGGTATTACAATTTATATAATTATAGCAAAAAATCAGAAGACTTAAAACAATTCGACTTACTGGTAATCAGCAGATAATGTCTCAGAACTCAGTGATTGTAAATATCCACAAAGATATCCATAGGTATGCACTGCTAGATTATGCATAAAAATCAGCACTTTAATCCACCATGTCTTTTCTAAGGAGTATAATGTTTTTGCTTGCATTGAACATTCAACCAGATCAGACTTGGTTTGTACTTGTGATTGTAACATATTAAACTTTGTAATGTTATTATCTCTCTTTTGATTGTCATTTAATGCCTCAATATTTCTTTTGTCTTTAATTGGCTGCAATAGACTTTGCTTTACCTCTTCATTTTTTATAAGATTCCCTAAACCTCTGCCTATAAGTATAGGATATGGAGGAAGTACATGGTCTTTGTTTTCTTGTCTCGGAATTACATTGATGAACTTATTGGAGAACGATATGGCTGCGTTGTCTAAAAAAATAATTACAATCAATAATCATATCCATCGCTAATAGATTAATTTTGTTTATAACAAAAATTTTGTATTGCAAACTAATATTGTTAATAAAAATTTTATTACAATGTTAGTGGCAAAATTGTATCAATAGTAACAAATTAATAAAATAGTAACGTTAAAAATTTATCATTAGTGAATTCATAGTTTGTTCCTAATAAAAATGTATCAGTAGAAATTATTTTGCACATTTTATACGATTAAAAAAAATAATTAACACATCAAATAACTATCTATAACAATATGAATTGACATCTTACCAAAGATTAAAATTAAACAGATGATCCACAGTATTTGTTTCATATTGTATAATACTGTTTAATTCCTTCTTTCACAGAGAAAGGTTAACAAAATCAAGTCAGATTTTTTTCTCCACTTTGTTGTCTCAATTGCCTGAAAGTAATAAAATAATCATCTTGTATGTTAAAATCGTAGAATATTGCTTTTAATTTTTATTTTGAGTTATTTATTCTAATATAACGTAAACCAGATACACAATAGATTATATTTTATTTTATTTTGAACAACGTTATTCATAACTGTTAAGATCTATCATCTAGAATATGTCAGCATATATAAGTACGGACAAATTTGCACAAACTGACATTGGCTCAACAGCTCACATATTTTTATATAAGTTAATTATTTATTCCTTACATTCTATATAAAATATTGTAAATTTTTTATACAAATTTAACAGAAGTCAACTATTAAATTATATCGAAATATAAATAATTATTAATATATCAACGCTTTACAAGAATACAATGTTTTTCACACTTGCAATTAATATAATAATTAATAAGATAATAAATAATGTAAGCAAACTGTAATCTCGATTAAGAGAAGAATATAGTGTTTAAATTTAATATATTACTTGATAAGATCACAAAACTACAACAACTTTGAAAGTCGCGTATATGTAATGGTTAAAAATAATCTCACTAATTGTAAGCAGAATTTCTCACAAATGAGACAAATAAATTCATTAATTTAATTAATACCGAATTGAGCAATAACTACTGTTATTAATTTTCATTACATAAATAATTCTAAATTAACATATTATACTAATCGTAATTAACGATAATTATGTTGTCTATGATAACGGATTCTTAGTTTTTATCATATATGCTCACCAAATGTTATAATAATGTAAAATTTCAATAAAATATTGCAAAACTTGTTAAATACGCGGTAATTAATGACATGATAAAATAACATAAGCGATATCGATGAGCTATGAGAAAAAATATGACAATTATTCAATCCACAGTAATTTTTTTTTGCACTAAAAATGAAAATAAATAACACAGAAATTCGTAGAAATAAAAATTTAAAAAAGGCTGAAAATAGTATGTATTTTAATGCTCCACCCAGCTTGAAACAGAAATTAGTAATTTTACAAATATCAAATTATCTTACCAAATTGAGATCAGCTCATTTGTGAGTCTCTTACGTCTTTCTTACAAGCGCAACATCAGAACAATGCCAAGTCTGCGACCCATAGAACATAAACAGATGGCTCTTCTTAGTAAAGCTAGTTGATTTATTTGTTTGAACTCTGTGTTGGTCACACACATTAGTATTGATATATATCATTTGAAGCAACACATTTTTCTTGTGAGAATTGGAATAATAGGATTTCTGCGGTGGTATCCATGTGGTCTCATAATATTAATTGGCAAGATATAATCAATGCAAAAATCAATAAGTTTAACCTGCAAATGTAACCATGCACATAAAAAGGAACCATTAGTAAAACACACTAAAAAGAGTTCTGCTATTAGTAAATATATGATTAGTAGAAATTAATAACGGAATTTGTCGCAATAAACATAAATCATTTAGTATCGTAATATAACAATGTAACACCACTCCAAGATTTGAAACTGAAGATTTACTATATAAATATTAAGTAATAAATATAACATATTAATTTATATTACAGAAATACACACATTTATGTATATAAGATGGCAAAGATGCTGTTTTATTATCGATCCTTGGATGTAGCATTCAAAGTTGGATGTTGCACTTCAAAGTTACTTGCAGTAACTCATTGTGCTATAACCCAATAAGCTGTTATAAATGTTCTAAAACAATAACATGGAGAACATTCAAATAAAATCGTTACGCATTTGTGGCGCTAATAAAAAGCGTCTTCATACTTTTTTAACCGATAATATTGATGCAGGATATTATCGATATTATCAATTGTTGTTAGTTCCGACAAATTGGGGGCGCTTATGTAACCGATGGGTGAGCATTTTAACCTTAAAAAAAATTATTAACGTTGGCGACACGTTGAACACCACATGGTTATACATTATTATATATTATTAGTGTTGGGATAAATCAAAAGTATTTATATGTCAAGTAATTAATAACCAAGTGCGAATACTTTAATTAAAAAAATTATATTATAGATGAACTGTATTATAGAATTATAGTGAATAAATGTTACTTGAGGTGAATATAATAGACTGAATATCGTGATATTAAAAATTATATTTAAAAACTATCGTATATTACAAATATTGCGCTTAGTATATTACAAATATCGCAATTTTCTACACGTGCCTTTACACGTGCCTTAAAAATGAGTCACATTATAATTGTGCGCGCCTTTAAACCGGGCGACGTGATAAGCTGCAAGGAGTTGCTTCGAGACGGCGTGATGTCTTCTCTAAGTGCTACATTTTGGGGAATGTTGCTCAAGGAAAGTATCTTTCAACTGATGCTCTTATTCTGCGCGATGGCATTCATTTTCTTGGGGATGCCATTCACGGTCTGCTTCCTGATTGTACCTATGGCCATTATATTGGTATACGTGGGCACATATATAAGCTTTACTGCAAAGGTAGCAGAGATTGACAGAGAAGTGAATAATATTCCAAGGTAGTGTATTGTACATTTATTTTGAGACTTTCAAGACCAATTTTTCCAACTTTTTGGTAGGTTTGCCCATCAGTTACCTATTAATAAATATCAATAATTCTTACTCAATGGTATTATTATTACCAAGAGGTAATTTTACTTGGTATCCAACCATCAAGTAAGGATTACTGACATTTGTTCATAAATAACTGACGTATAAACGTACCAAGAAATTGGAACAACTGGCCCTCAGAGAATATATAATTTTCTATGCCAGACATGGGAATTGGTTGCAGCTTTCGGCTCAATTTTTTGATTGACACCTACTGTTCCCTTCTTGCCGTTCGCATGCTAGCAAGGAGTCAGCAAACGCGCTAACAACGCTCGTAACTAAGATGCGTGATACTCAGGAATGTCCATATCACAAATTCAGCAAGATAATAAATATGAGACAATAGATTTCCACATCACCTGTGAGGTACTATTATTGACGCGTTCTTCAACAATAATACCTCACAAGTGATATGCAAATCTATATTTATCTAAGATTTATTATCTTGTTGCATTTATGATATGGACATTCCTGAGGCTGAATATCGTGCATCTTAATTAATTACGCGCGTTGTTAGCGCGTTGGCGACTTGTTGCTAGCATGTGAGCGGCAAGGAGGAAGCAGAAGGCATCAATCAGAAGATCGAGCCGAAAGTTGCAACTAATTCCCATCTCTGTTCTATGCAATTAATGTTTTAATACTTTTGAAATAATTAGAGTCATAAAATATAGTTGTTTGTAAAATAATATAGTTTGAAAAAATTATGATTATGTTTGTTAATAGGCTTTACATGTCCAATGCCTTCTCATGTTTCTGGGTTGCTGAGGCGTTTCAACCTTACTTAACAACACGACATCCCAAAGAAGTGCATTACACTGTAATGACAGAGCAACAATTTCGCGAATCCAACATTGATGTTTCCTCACAAACCAAAAAGATTGTAGGGACCATTGGCTTATTCAAGAGTCATACATTAGAGGGAAGCGCATGGATAAAGAGACTATGTGTACACAAAGAGTATCAAAGAAAGGGTGTAGCAACATGCTTGCTTAGTGTTGCTGTACAATTTGCAGCTGACGCAGGCTACAGTTGTGCTAATTTAGCGTCTTCTGAATACACGGAAGGGGGTAGAGAATTGTGCCTTAAAAAGGGTTTTGAATTGAAGGAAATGTATCATAAATCGATTATAGGATCATTTATAACAATATTAATGTATGAGTTAAGTTTCGAGATCAAATCTGATGAAGACAATTTGCCTCCTCAAAACAAAAAAGAACTTCTTAATCTAAAGTGTCAATAATAGATTTTAATAGCATGATTAAAATAACGAATCTGTTGGAAAACTATTGAGACTGATGATTGAGCCTGATACTATATTTTCCAATAAAGTAAAATGGTCCAAGTGATCTTAATCGCAGTGATAACTCTAGTATTACACAATTTTATGCATTATCTACTAATAGTGAAAAATATTTTCTATAAAATATTTATCACATATTCCAAATGTAGTATGGTGCCTTACTTATAATATAATTTTATAACGTAAACAGCAAAAATAAAGATACATTTTTCTTATATTTTGTTCTTCATGGCTTCCCGGTACATTTGGATTTCTTTACCTTCCCAATGTTGATTTTTTACTTTTGACAAAAACCTAAAATAAAAAATTTTATCGCAATTAAAAATAAGCTAAAATTGTTAAACCGTTATAGAAGAAATTTTAATAACTTACTTTTCTTGAATTTCTTGCAATATTGCTTTCTCTTTCTCTGTTATACCGTTTCGCAGTATATCCAGATTCATATGTAATTGTTTCGTGTTTTGTATTCCAACTAAATTTGTGTTGACATCTGTGTATTGCAGAGAATGCCATATCGCTAGTTTGCAGAATTCCACGCCATGTTCCTGCGTTATTTTATAATATTAATTTTATTAGACAAGTTCTTCAATTAATTGATATTTTTATTTTTATTAATAGACCTTGCAATATTGTCCAGCATTCGCACATTGCTTTTTTGTTTCATCGGAGGCTAAATGCCAGTTTGGTGGGCCACTATTTGTTAGAAGACCCATACATGGTGTGGCGGCATTAATCACACCGATATTGTGTTCCTGCAAATTACTCAATAATTAACTAAAATTAAATCCAGCGATACGCGATACAAAAATAAAATTATGAACCTTAAAGAATGAGATGTACTCTAACAAAGTACTATCGATTAGAGTGAGTCTTGAGTAACTCAATATGCAGGCTATATTAATATTACTCTTTTCGATGCATTCTTTCAGTACGGATATTGGGTAACCGGTTATACCTATGTGTCTGGCTTTGCCTTCAGCCACCTGTCTCGATAATTCTGGCAAAGTTTGTGTCACTATTATGTCTAATGAAGGTGCAAATTCGATATCGTGAACCTGTGAAATTTATGGTTCTATCTTCATTATATTGGATAAATTACCAATTTTTACTCAAAATGATGGTATATACGATATTTTACTTGAACAACATCGACGTAATCCACTCCCAATAATTCCAAGCTCTTTTTAAAACTTTTCCTAGTTTTCTCAATAGTAAAATCAAACATATTGTCGTAATCCAGCTCGTACCTACCAACTTTTGTTGCAATATAATAAGCTTCTCGTGGAATCTCTTTCAGTGCCTGCAGTAAAAATAAGACATTAAACATACTTTCTATAACAATGTATAAACAAATTTCAGAGTATATATTGCATGTCTTTTTCATAAATTTTTATACTTTGCCAAGTATTGTCTCAGCTCGACATTGTCCATACCATGGTGCAGTATCAATATAATTAACACCTTGTTTTATCGCTTGACGTATCGCTTCAATGGCATCAGCTTCATCATAGGTGCTATAGCAATGGTACATAAAAAATTATTATTATTATATTAAATGTAAAATATTCTTGCACAAGAAATAAATAATTTACCCGTAATGACAGCCGAGCGGACCAGTGCCAAAAGATAATTTGTTTATGAGCAAGCCTGTTTTTCCAAGCTGTTTATATTCCATAGCTTTCACTGTTTCAGGATCGTGAAAACCTTCGACGTAGGTTGGAGGAAACATACTGAAAATGTCACGATAAATAATAAATAAAAAAAAAAAAAAAAGAGCTTAAAATGAATATAATTTTATTGATTTCAATCTGTGATGCCATCAATATGCCGCAAGAATATGCTTAAAACTATGTTACGTTTCTGTTGTCATAAAAAATAGATTTGGAAAAATCAAATAGAAACATAAAAATGTATAAACATTGTATGTCAAACTAATTTACAGTAATGTCATAATTACTTTCAATCACATATTTATATATGCGTAAATATCTATAAATCTATTTATTTTAAATGAGTCAAGTGAAATCACAGTAATGAAAATTACATAATGTTATTTATTATTTATTTTCTAATTATTATGGAGAATATTTTCTTACATGTTTTCTCTGCTTCCAGATTTATACTAATAAAAAATCTTACAACGACCACTCCTTTTTCACTTGAGTCAAATTGTTATCACTATTATGAATGGATTCTGAGTAAACATTTTTGATATCCAGTATGTATTTCAATATCGTTCTTTTACTGAGGAGGGGAAAATTGACATTGAGTCAAGATTAGATAACATACACTTGTAATTATCTTGTATTATAAGATAAATTGGCAATATGCTGTGAATTATTAGTTACTGATTAAATAACATTTATAAGAGCTTTTTTTTATATGATAAATTTATGTTTATTTAATATCAGTCTTTTTTTTCTTTTCATATTACAAGTTTAATTTGTACAATTTCAACTTTTATTAACATTTTCAGCAAGTGCAATATTAGCACCATGACAGCAATTTTAAGGTAGATTTAATTACATTGCTATTGATTAAGTCCATATGTTTTGCCTATAAAGTTTGTAAATATTAGTAATTGCAGATTGATGTAATATAAAGATATCCAACAGATATTAGGCCCAACATACAGTACAGAAAATATAAGGAATAGTAATAAATGTTAATTAGGAATAAAAAATCAGAATTATATGTATATATATGAACTTGATACAAGAAGTGCCTAAGTCATTTTTTCCCATAATTATTCTCAATTGGATATGCACTTTTTGCATATTTAAGCTCCAATTGAGGTTAAAAATGACTTGGGCACTTCTTGTACCAAGCCACAGATATACAATTTCATTTCAAAACAAGAAAATGCAATGGATTAACGATCATAAATTAGGAATAATTAATCCATTTAGTTCTCTTGTTTAAAGTAAAACAATTCCACAAACTCCTCTTCCTAATATTTATCATTTATTCCTAAGGCCTTACGCACAATACAGAAAATAAGAATAAGGGCCATTCTACAATAATTCGCGAATACCTTGTTAGAGGGATATGGTTGGCCAATCAGCTTTCCGTTTTTTCGGAAATAGTGAACATGCAGCTGGGCATTGATCATGTAATTTTTCCCTAGGAGCGGAAACATAAAAAATGAAAACTTTTATGTGAATTCGACAATTCTATTCGTCAAATTCACATGAAATTTCGACGCGTTCTATGTGCAATAGGCTTGAAAATTGGCTACTGGCTGGCTTTTTCCATCGCTTTGTATGAAGAAACTAGAAGTTTCTCATCTCGGTCACGCCGGCGGAAGTTGTGATCACAGCCGCGAAGCGGATGTCATCGCCCAAGAGAGAGAGAGAGTAATGGCGTCCGCGGCAAGCGCATGATATTCTCGCGGTTCGTCTGTTACACTCCGAGCTAAATATTGAGAAGATTCTGGCTCTTCCTTTCATCTGTTTGAGAGCTCTTTTCGATTAAGATCGCGCCAGACAATTCGCAAGGATCGAAGTCTCTCAGCACAAGATACGAGGAGTCCGTGATAGTGTGTGGCCGAACGGGTGGTTGTATATGTTTTCTCGCCGTATAACGTGAATAGTTAAAGAACTCTGAAATTCTTAAGCTGATCAACTCGTCGTGGTGATTACGATTATCAATTTTTTGACGAATCGACGATGAACTGAAAATCCCATGAAAATTGTATGAGCATCATCGTACATCGCTGTATCCACCGTCTGTTCTGCGTATCTTATGGAGCATCGTGACGTGTACATAATTTGGCTCACTCTTTAACCACTCTGTTACTTGATTTGTTAATTGATCATTTAACTGTTAATTAAAACAGAAAAAATTTATTAGCTAGATTCCACAGATAGAAACATAATTTTTTTTGTAAATAGGTGAAGTTTATTCGGAAAATGTTAATATAGAATATCTTAAATGCATTTTTTTTCTTACACAAAAATCATATGCAAAAGAATGATAATTTATTTAAATTTTATTGGAGTTTTAATTAAATTGGAGTAGCTTTAATTAGTATTAAAAATTTATTAAAATACAGTGAATTAGAATTATATCAGCATTGATTTATGTTACTTCTTTATATCTTCTTCATATCTAGATGCAACTATAAATCTAAAAAAATTCAATAAATTATTAAATAATTATTTAACATATTATGTTAAAAGAAATGCAAGTAATTGAACCTAAGTAAAAATAAAAAATTGCTTCTATCACAAATTAACATATTATTCCAAAATCTTTATTCTTACAGTAAAAAACTGATAATCAGAATAGTAATAGAAAATTTTTTTTGCAGGTTTTTTTGTCACAATGGATTTGTTAGTGCAAACTTCTTTAACATTATTACTCACATGAAAGTTTGGCTCTAGTTGTTCAAACTTAAGTTGAACAAAGTCTGATTTAAATTGTTCGTCTATATGTAAATACTCTCGCAATGTCTGCAAACGCTCAATTTGCAAATCCGCCACCGGCTGTGAGTTTGCCCAACATGTCGGTGCCTCCGCCTGTTCCGACTCCAAATTTATCGACACCACCACCAAATTTAACAACCATAAACACATCAGGAAGTTATCAGCATCGATATGCGAATCACAGAGAAGGCAATCGTGGTTTTTTTAAACCATTCAGACCTTATCATGCTCCAAAAGTTGTTGCTAGTGGGCAAGATATGTTACAAGATGAATTTGATGGAAAAAGACTCAGGAAGTCTGTCATGAGAAAGACCGTCGATTACAATTCCGCTATCATTAGAAGTTTAGAAGTAAGTAATAAATCTTATTGCGTGAATAAATTAAAATAACTTTCCGAGATCGTATCTAAACTCTTGAATTTTCACACGCAGCATCGAGTGTGGCAGCGGGACTACAGGGATCGTCGTGCCCTTCAACCAGATGTAATGTACTATCCTGATTTACTCCCCCCACCAAGTTATATTGACAATCCAATAAATGCAGTCACCACACGGTTCGTAAAAACGGCCACCAATAAAATGCGTTGTCCGATTTTTTGTATGGCCTGGACACCAGAGGGTAGACGTCTCGTTACTGGCGCATCGAGTGGAGAATTCACCCTGTGGAATGGCCTCACTTTCAATTTTGAAACTATTTTGCAGGTATATTATAAATTACATATATCAGAGGTACATATTGTATATCACATTGTTCTTGGTTATAACATTTAATACATATATTGTAGATGTAATATTTATTACGTTTAATTATATTGAGATATTTTAAGGGACAAAACTTTACAATTCTGGTTCGGCCTCCGAATATCTTGAAAGAATATATCTTGAAATCATTTTGTCGCAAAAGATAATTGTACAGTATTTTATTTATTTTTGTGTTTTTCAACATTGTATGATTTAACAAAAAATCTTTTAATGAGATTTCTGCATATATTTATTTGCGCTTTGACGGGAGAAATGAATTCCTTTGTTTAGGCTCACGACAGCCCGGTAAGGACTATGGTATGGTCGCACAATGAGAGCTGGATGGTAACGGGGGACCACGCCGGCTACGTGAAATATTGGCAGAGCAATATGAACAACGTCAAGATGTTTCAAGCACACAAAGAAGCGATTAGAGGACTCAGGTATACCATCCACCACACTAGTCCTTACGTCTCTTGCGCCACTGTTGCCGATGATCCGTCAATCCTTGCCGTAGTTAGGATATTGGACGTGACTCTTATTCTCTTCCTTTTCTGGTTTTGTGCCGTTTCTGGCAGAGCAATAGTGGTTCTTGTATGGGTACACAGGTGATTTTCTTAACAAGTTAGCATAAAACATTGGATAGCATATAACGTCTGTTATAAACCACATGGAATGTTCGTTAAAAGTGCTAGTCGTTGAATGGTCGTTGAATCTCGGTCGGATTTGGTGTAAAAATCGTTTCGACATATATCTATCTTTTGCCGAATTAGGAGAGAATTTGGAAAAAACGAAAGTCAAAAGAGTCAAATTTCAATCTTTGTTGAATAATTTTCAATCGTAGAAAATATTTCGGACACTGTAACAATATCGTAATTTTTAAGGAACGGCCTGAGAGAGTAATTGCAGTAGAGAACTTGCAAAGTAGTGTTGCTACCGCGTTTTTATCGCGTCGCGACATAAAAATTGGTTACACAAGGACGGTGTAAATTTTTTTGCGTGTATTATATGCGCGTTATCGACATGATTTACGTACCTGTGGAGTCTTGGGGACCTAACTCGATTTTACTCTGTCCGTATAGTAGCAGTAATGCGCTCATCACATTTGAAGTAGCACAAATTTTAATTAAGTTATCATAACGCTATTAGGTCCTTACGGCTCTCGTCTTAAGAAGTTTATGTGGCTAGATTATTTATTCGGCAAAGATGTATGTTTTAGAATAACAAATAAAAGAGAAATATATATTTATATACATAAATATAGATATACCTAGTCGAGATTCCCATATAATGATAAATAAAAGATGAAATATCCTGTGTCCTTCTTTATATCATTTAAGTTTCAATAAAGTTCAATAAAGACATCTCATATTATTGCATGACTATGAAAAATAAAATATTTTATTCTTTGGTTTTGTGTCACTTGTGCTCTTTCGCAGACGACAGAGAGAGAGAGAGGGAGAGAGAGAGAGAGAGCGTAACAGACATAATGAAACATAATTCATGTACACTTGGGACATTTTTTTTGTGCAATAAATGTCAAATTTGAAAAAAATATTGCTCTTGATACATCACTCGGTGGTCATGTGGCATCAAAAGTAGAGCTTAGTTTCACCAAGATGATGAAACTGTTCACTGCCTGACAAACGATGAAGATTTTATTTGAGTGCCAGATATGACTGTCGCGGATGGTTTTTTGTTTATTTACAATATTTACATATATATATCTATATTTACACATATGAAAACAATCCTTTTTTTATTACTGATCTCTGTCTACTTCTCGATGGCGCATTCGTGAAATTCGGCTATGTGTTTTCTATCTATTACATTCATTCTCTGTTCTAAGTTAATCCGGGAAATACAACTCAACTTATATGTGTGCACCGCTCTGTGTACACACTTGCTCGCATTCCTTTCCTGCTTTTCCACGCGTATATATCTCGCTTTCAATATCAACAAACAGGGAGAATCATCAAACGACAGCGATTCGTTATGAAGAATAGCTTAAATATGCATATAATTTTAATTTATATCTATGCAACGCTGTGTAATTTTTATCCGTATCACAAGTCCAGATATATAATAACGATATATTATATATCAAGATGATATATAATAATTTTAAAATATGTGCAATGAAAATGCATCGGAACAATTTCTCTTCGGATACGCATGTGTAGTTAAAATTTAAAGAACTTTATTTACGTACAAAAGAATTCGTGAAGGAAAGTATCGATAATGTGATAACGCTGCTTATCTTTTTTCTCGTATGTATACATCGTCGTTGCATGCGGTAGTAGTTCTAATAAATACAATGACGAATCAGTAATAAATGTAGGCAGTTGTATGTTTGATACTAATTTTGTCGTAATAATGTCCGCAAGATGTATCATGTATTTCATCATTTCTTCATCATGCATATATGCAATAATTATTTCATCTCTCCTGTGTCAGTTCTTTTCTCACTTTGCTATATAGAACTATTTAATACAATGAGAGTTTTAATAAAAATTTTATATTTTATCTTCTTAGCCAGTTTAGAATTTTGAGCTATTATTTCAGCTTATATACTGATTATTTTTAGTCACAACGCGTTGTCAAGTAAAATTAATGACTGTTGTCAATATATATATTGCATTATTTAGTTGACCGTTCAAACCCGTTGATGACTTTCCATTATGGATATCGGCAAATAAAAGATTAGCGCAGTTTTTTACTACACACGATAGCGCATTGTTTAAATATAACTTTTTTTTGGACGGGTAGTTTCAGTCCAACGGATCACAAATTGGCGACCTGTAGTGATGATGGAACCGTCCGAATTTGGGATTTTCTTCGCTGTCATGAAGAACGAATTCTCAGGGGTATATAAAATCTTTTGTTCTACATTTATATCAATAATGCTATATATAAAATCTTTGATTTAATTCATTGTAACAATTATTTTGAGTTTAATATATTTATTTCACGTAGCTTATTACATATTTGTATTTTTATTATACTTTAATATCTTTATACCCTTTATATATGCTTTACCTCTTACATAAGTTTTCTATATTATTTAAAAAATGATAAAATTGCGTTCAAAATTATGTGATATTGATTTTGCGATATTTTTTCATGTCAATCAAACATTGGTAAATAAGTAATTGAATTTGAGATGTAGTATTTCATAGTGTTCTTCTTGTAGGTCATGGTGCAGATGTGAAGTGCGTACACTGGCATCCACAAAAGAGTCTAGTCATTTCCGGAAGTAAAGACAATCAGCAGCCGGTGAAATTGTGGGATCCGAAGACCGGGCAGTCTCTCGCGACTCTCCATGCTCACAAATCAACCGTAATGGACGTCAAATGGAATGAGAACGGCAATTGGTTGGTGACTGCCTCGCGAGATCACTTATTGAAGCTGTTCGATCTCAGAAATTTGAGCCAAGAAGTCCAGACCTTCCGTGGTCATAAAAAAGAGGCGTCCAGCGTTGCGTGGCATCCAAGTCACGAAGGTCTCTTTTGTAGTGGAGGTAGCGATGGTGCTATACTTTTCTGGCACGTGGGGTACGCATAATGTTGTTTCTGCAAGTGATTATACTTTTTTCTTCCTTTTATTAATTTCAATCTTGAATTTTAGGGCCGATAAAGAAGTCGGAGCGATAGAGCAGGCACACGACAGCATAGTGTGGACGTTGGCCTGGCATCCATTAGGCCACATTTTGTGCTCCGGCAGCAACGATCACACGTCCAAGTTTTGGACGCGCAACAGACCCGGAGATTTAATGAGAGATAAATACAATCTCAATACGTTACCGGCGGGCTCAGCTGGCATTGATGACCATGAAATCGGTAAAACTCAATGTTTCTATAAAGAAGAAATATTCTTATACAATATAACATGAAATTTTTATTTAATTTATGAACGTACACTTTAATATTTAATGTTTTTTAGCTGATGAAGCAGCGGTGATACCTGGTATGGGACCGGAGGACAGAATCAACGCCGACGGCGAATCCGAAGACAAAAGCGGCGGAATTCCGGGACTGGATTTGGATCACGCCGTGGACGAGGGCAAGAAGTTTGCTAACAAAAAAGTCCCGTACAGCAAACCGATACCGCGCAACTTCCAAGCTCAATGGAACGAAATGGAGGCTGAGGATAGCGAACAAGTCGAAGCGTTGAATGCATTTGTTAATCAATTGATAGAAACTACTCCGGGTGCTGTGCCATTGAACGAAGTTACGCCTAACGCTATTATATTATATGGGAAAATGATTCCCGTAGAAGGTGAGAGTATCATTTATTTAAGTAAAATATATTCGTATTTGTAAAACATGTGATTCTTGATTATCAACTCAATGTGATGCATTTTTCAGCGGGCTCCAAACTCGCGGAGGCGATCAGCAAAGGAACGGACGCCATAAATAAACTAGTATTTTCCGGTGAAATAGAAGAGCTACGGGATGTAGTGGGTCCACCGGATAATGTGAACGAGGCTGAAGAGTATCTGCAGGACGATGGCGAAATCGATTATTCGAAAGTGCCCGACGTGGATTTGCCACCGCCTTTGCCGAGCTCAAAATTTGCACAGAATCCGGAATTGCTGAAGTCACTAAATCGCGGCGGCAAGCGTAAATTCGATCAGTTAATCGGCTGGAGCGACGGCGGGTCGAGTGATCGCACGTCTAAGATCCATCAACCGGTCTTTGGCGGTGTGATCACCGAAGACTCGCAGTCCAGCGATACCGATCTGAGATTCAGCATCGGCAAGAATGCGGAGAGTAATTCTTTCCATAGCGGCCAAGACGAGGATCACAGGAGAATAGGTTCTCACGGTGATATCGCGAGGAGCAGCAATCGCGGCGACGAGGATCTGAGGTTCAACATATCCGCCGGACCTGGCAGGCCTGGTTCTCGTAACGAGTACGATCCGCGTGGCAACAGTTTTGCCGACAAAGACTTCCGCAGCATTAGTGGTTTCCCGAAGAAATCGATGGACAACGACGTATACGACGAGCGGGAACGCGACGGCGCAGGCGGCCGCTGGGACGACGAGAAATCCAAGGGCGACGGACCGCGCGGCAAATCGGACGGCAACGGGTTTGACAAGCGCGACAACGGTATGCCGATGGGTCCTGGCGGCATGGGCATAGGTCACATGCCCGGTGTGCCGCATCTACCGAATCATCACAACATGCAGAACATCAATCCCAACATGCCTCCGTCGATACCGGGCCTGATGCCACATCCTAACATGCCGCAGCATCCTGGTATGCAGGGCAAACCTCCTCCACCGCATCCTGGTATGCCGGGCATGGATGGCCCGATGTTGCCGCATATGATGCCGCATCATCCGGGAATGCATCCGGTCTTCGGGCCGAACGGTCCACCGCCCGGTGGCTTCGGACCGAACTTCCGGTTGCCGCCACCGAACGGCAATTTCGGACCGAATCACTTCAGGCCGGGTCCGATGCCGCCGTTCGGACCGAATCAAGGCCCGCCGCCATTCGGCAACAGTTTCCAAGGACCGCCCAATTTCCGCGGACCTAACGCCGGTCCGATGAACTTCGACCGGCCGGTCTTCGGGCCGAACTTTCGCGGTCAGAATCCGCAGGGTCCACTGAACAACTTCAACGCGAACTTCGGTAACTTCGGCAAGAACGGACCCAACCGCGGCATGAGCCGCGGCGGTGGCGGCGGTGGCAGCGGCAGCGGAGGCGACAACAGAAGTGGTTACAGCAATCGCGGTAGAGGACGTGACAATGATCAGTCAAGAGGATCGAGAGGTAGGGACAATTATTGAAGAGGATTTTGGAGCAGTCATTACTCACGACGTCCTTGTATCGCGGCTTGAATGATGCAAAATAGGATTCTATCTAAACTTCGATGATGGTCGTTAATGGAATAATGTAAAGTAAGTGTAAATTAATGTCTCCCGTGTCAAGAAACAGCGTTCCCGGATCTCTTGAGCGACGATCACGAACTCTATTCGCGTGTGCGAAGAAACACGCATTGTATTCACAAACGGACTGTGTATATTATATAAACTGTATTCATAATTCGACCAGCATGGTGACAATTGGATCCGCGATATGCGTCTACGTAATAGCAATGCGAGTGTAGTTGACTTTTTTTTTCCTCCCAGGAAAAGAGAAAAGAATCGCCAATTCAGACTTAATTATTCTGAATTCAGTTTGATACTGTACTGTGCGCGGTGCGACTCGATTGTTTGCCACGTTCTTCTTGGCAAGGGAACAACCTTGGAAGGAGGCGAAATTGTAATATAATGCATTAAGGATCGGCGACACGGATATTATTCCGAATGAAACTTGTTCACAAGCTGCCTTGCAAGGGTGAATACCTGTTCCATTTGTGGAGCTCGACAAATGCGTGCCGATCGGGATACGCATGATTCCGAAGCATGAATGCACGACTGAACGCTTTGTTGTCTGTCGTCCGAGAGATGTGAAAATGCCAGAACAGTCTACTTATCTATTATTAATAAAACGGAATAACTTATAGCGTTTTTCATTTTCTGTCCTGATTTGATGTGTACGATAAGTGAGATGAGCGAACTCAATCAGGATAATGGTAACATAGAAAGATATATAATTGAAGTGAACAAATGGGGGCCGATTACAAACAATTGTAAACTTTATATTTTATAATATTAATTGTGAAGTTGTTCATTACAATTTCAAACTTTATGACAATTATTTTTTTATTATTAAATATGTTATTATTGTCTTTGATAATTGGTAACAATTGTTGTTCATTAGATTTCTTTACAATTATTACATAATTCTTAGATCATTGAAGAATTTAATCTAGTGTTACAATTATTCTGATTGAATTGATATGAGTTTTCTTTGATTCTGTATGATATGTGATTGTACAAAATACGGGGAATATTCGATTATATATTAAAACCCTGAAAAAAAATGAATACATCAAGGAAATTGAAAACTGAATTATAATGATTCAATGAATGTCTTGTTTTATAAATAAATAGCCCGACTGTGCCGTGTTTTTATTGTTATCGCATTAGATAACAGTAAAAACGCGATAAATTTGTAACACGACATATTCTTGGATTTGTCTCGGAAAAATACATTTATTTTACATTATTTATTAATCATTAATAAATTGCTTTCTTTCATATTGATTTATCTTAGGAGTTTTTATTTTTTTATTTTTTGTACAACCGATCCACTTCCCGCTCTTCGTTCGTGAGATTACTGACGTCACGAAGCAGCTCTAAAGTGAGAATTGTGTGGACATCGGACATGTTTTGTCAGATATAACCTCAAGTCGTTCACGCTGCTTGCGGTATCAGCGAGGAAATACTATTATTATCTATTAACTAAAATCATGGGCAAGAAAGGTAAAGAAAAAGGTAATTTAGGGAAAGCCTTGATCAGGGATCGATTCGGATCCGGAAAAGTTAAAAGGAATAAGAATGAACCGTCTATGGTAAGATTACAAATGTGTTTTTAACCTCTTCTAAATGTCACATGTTCCTGTTGGCGTATTATGCACACAAACATATTGGAATATTTAAAGGAATTTCATAAATAAATTGGAGGCACATTTTGTCGTTATTTGTCGAATTTAAAATTTTAATTATTAGACATTTATGTAATGCATTAAACTGTTAAATAAATTCTTATACATTTTTTCGATTTAATCACATGCATGAGTCGTGTATATTTGGACTGATTTTTGATAATTAAATAAAAATGCCCCAAAAATTATGAAGAAATTCTCATATTTAGTTCAAAGTTTCTAGAAAATAAGTACACGTTCCAAAGTTAAAAATTGATTAAATACATAATTTTAGCAAATTAAAAATTGAAAATTATAACGAATCAAAATAGCATTTACATGAATGACTTGTGTGTGCCATTTGAGAACAAATTTGCTGAAGATATAATTAAATATTTAATTATTTATTAAATCCAACAATCTTCTTTTTTCTTTTAGCTTCACACAACTGAACTCAATGATGGTTATGATTGGGGTAGACTGAACTTGCAATCAGTCACAGAAGAAAGCTCGTTCCAAGAGTTTCTGTCGACCGCTGAGCTTGCCGGCACGGAATTCAACGCGGAGAAATTAAATATCAAATTTGTGAATCCAAACAGCAACGGCTTGCTATCAAAGGCAGAAAAGGCCGAAGTACTGAAGATGCAGGAACAAAACAAGGATCTTATCAAGATACCGAGAAGGCCGAAATGGGACAGTTCTATGAATGCCCACGAGCTGCAGACTCACGAGAAAGAAGCGTTCTTGGAATGGAGACGTGGTTTGGCTATGTTACAGGAAAACGAAGGATTGTTGTTGACGCCTTATGAGAGGAATCTTGAGTTCTGGCGACAATTGTGGCGGGTGGTGGAGCGCAGTGATGTAATTGTACAAATCGTTGACGCACGCAATCCGTTACTGTTCCGTTGCGAAGACCTGGAACGTTACGTCAAGGAAGTCAATCCTGACAAATTAAATATGATCCTTCTTAATAAAGCAGATTTTTTAACAGACGAGCAAAGAGAAGCGTGGGCAAAATATTTTGCAGACATAAACATACACGTGGCTTTTTTCTCTGCTACGCTAGCGGCAGAGAAACAGAAAATCCAAGAAGAGGATGAAACCAAATCAGCTGATAAAGATGATCAAGGAGCCGAAAATAGTGCTGACGAGAATTCGAAGTTTGCGACGGAATCGGAATATAAAAGCGCGGAGAATTGTATGGTTGATAATAACAGCGCGGAATGTAAAGCAGAAGCTGATAATGATAAAGAAATAAAAGTTCAACAAGACGCAATAGAAGACTTAAGTATCTCCGCGACAGACAAGGAACGTAAAATAGTGAATTCATCAAAATTGTTAAATAGAGACGACCTCGTGAAATTCTTCAAAACGATTTACACCGGCGATAAAACGTATACAGACGGAGTGACGACGATCGGTTTTGTGGGATATCCGAACGTTGGAAAGAGCTCAACCATCAACACGTTGCTCATGAACAAGAAAGTCTCGGTATCCGCTACACCAGGTAAGACCAAACACTTTCAGACGCTATATCTGGACAGGGATCTGCTGTTGTGCGATTGTCCGGGCTTAGTGATGCCGAGTTTTGTCAGCACGAAAGCGGAGATGATCTTGAACGGCATACTGCCGATTGATCAAATGCGGGATCATGTGCCAGCGATCACACTAGTGGCTACATTGATACCCAGGCATGTCCTGGAGGACTTGTATGGCTTTATGTTACCTGTTCCAACGGAGGGAGAAGATGCGGAACGCGCGCCAACGGCGGAGGAGCTTTTGAATGCGCACGCTTGTATGTATCGCTGTTTATTAATGAATTTATTAATATAATTTAATTAATATATCATTGATCAGTTTCTTACGACTACATATTAAATGATGTTTCTAACTATATTATTTTTGTTACAGATAACAGAGGTTTCATGACGCAGAATGGTCAGCCGGACAATCCGCGCTCAGCAAGATATGTTTTGAAAGATTTCGTTAATGGCAAATTACTTTACTGCGTCGCGCCGCCAACGCTCGAGCAGGGACGCTTTCACACGTTCCCGCCACGACGTCGGATCGTGTCCGCGAACAAGCATATACCGCCCCGAGTGGTTCGCTTGAACGAAGGATGTCGGATAACAGCTAATCAAGTGGACCGGAAGTTTTTCCAGGATATACATGTCAAGGAAAGCCGTAGACCCGTGCTGCAACAGTCGAAAATGTAATGTCAAAATGTTCACTTTATTTGTAAAGTCGCTCGTGTATAATAGTCGCGACAATAGTCAAATAACTTAAGATCGATCGATGAAGCACTATCCAAATCCTAATATTCACTCTTCGTCTCTTCGCAGCGTGCGAAGATATGTACAATTGTTGGAACGTCATTTCTTCATATACAAAATTCACTTGATCAAGTACAATTAATTTTTCTCTTCAGGCACGCGGGATCAACGGTCACTTTGACTGAATCGATCGACGGTCAGTCTGATAGAATGAAGAAACCGTGGAAGATGATAAACAAACATGTTAACAAGAATAAACGTGAGAAGTCACGAAGGGTGTACGCTCATCTTGACCAGCACTGAGTACGAAAAACATCACCGTTCCTGGATCTACCGCTCCGTGCAACAATTGTATAAAATAGTTGTAGCTTAACAATTCTGCATCAAGTACATGTGTACGCGTTGCAGATTTATATTTACTTGAAGTTGGGCACGCGATATCATGTATGTGTATATAGACTATAAAGTATTTTATATAATACACTCCCTCTTTGCTTTGCCCTCCCACCTGTTCCTTTCGTTTTGTCTTAAAACTCAATATCATTTTTACAGATTCCAGTTTGACGGCGACGTGATGTAAGTTTTCAAACAATACTTGGAATATCAATTTTGAGAACGGACCGTATTATATTAGATTCCGCGAGAATAACCGTTCGTTAAGTAGGAAGCACACAAACGAAATTCCTTATTCGAGTCGGAATTCAATCCACAGATCCGATGGATGTACATCCATATTAACGTATGTACGCGATATATTTGTTATACATAATTTAACTTCTTTTATATATAAATAAGCTTGAGGTTCGATGAACACCACGTTCTTGACGATTCCCGTGACGGTAACTGAGTCTCAGTAAAATAGCACAGTGTGCAATATTGTTCTCGCGAATTTCGACTCAAATTCATGAAGTAATTCGTCTATGTCATTGTCCAAATCTTCGCTATTCGCCAACTAAAACATGAAAATTTTCAGATATTAGACAAATCAAGAATAAATTTTTCATACTTATAGAGAAGTGAACAAAAGAGTGATACCACTGTCACTAGCTCGCATATAAGAAAAGATCCTACTGTAGCTTCCTCATGATTATCCTGGATATCGATATTGATCAAATGTACAGGTTGGTTATCCTCTTTAATTCGAGAGTCCATGCATTCGATTACTTGATCGTATACACGCTCTTCGCACGTTATCAAAATGTCAAATTTGTCTTTAGATAATTGAAATCGTTCGGGCCTAGGTTTTATTCTACGATTCCGATCTAGCATATGCAATAAACCATTTTGCGTATAACTATGCTAATTGTTAAGGAATGTTTTTTTTCGATAAACAATTATTTGTTGGTAATTAGCATAAATTATATATGAAGGGGATAGAATTGAATCGAAGCAAACAGAAAACACATGTATTAATTATTTTAAATCGTAAATTTTTAGGAACATATATATAAAGTAATATACAAAATATGCACATATATCAAAAGTAAAAAATTAAAATGTACTAATTTAATCAAAATCAATAGCAAATTGCAAAAGTAACAAAGAATAAGGAATGTTAAATTTTTAATGCCTATAGGGAAAAGTTTGTTGAAGGCTCTAAAAGACTTGGTTATACAAAGGATACTATTGCTTGTCTTTCATCAATAGATCATTGTAGATCTCTTCGTACGAAGTTCCAAAATCATAGATATTTGGACGGTCCGGTGCGGTTCCAGGTAATTTGACCTTATCTCCAGTTCCAAAAGACTTCACGTTAAATCCCTTTTTGCTGAAATACAATCACGTTATCAGACAATATTTTATATTTGTTATATATAAGCTTAATTTCTTCTTGAAACTTATAAATTTTCTGAAACAAAATCTTTAATTTGTACAAAGCTTGAAATTGACCCATTTATTGTGACATATTTCAGGAGACGTTTTTACAATTTTGAAGAGATTCCTGCGCGAAGAAAGCTATGACAAAATTATTGATGGATTAACTGTTAGTCCAATGGCTTAACCATTGCTACGAGTTAACCGCACGACCGATTACCTCAGGAAAGCGTGTGCCTCCATGCTCCTGTTCATGTTACTGGAACATATTACGGCTACGCTGATGGAATTCGGCGCCGGCATTATTTCGCGCGTTCTATCGACCGTAAAGGAGCCGTGATAAAAGGAGTTGTATTGAATCGTTCTAACCCCAAAGATAATCTCACGTTCGTGAAGGTTACGTTTCGTACATCTGATAAGCTATACAGAAATTTTGATGCTCCCTCCTTTTGTATCTAAATTTAGTCGAGCGGAATGAAAACGCAATACGATCTGACAGAACGACAGTTAATTCCTCAAGCAACGCGAAATTTTTTTAACCGGAACGAATATCAGAATTATGGAAATCACGCGAACGGTCTTACGACCCAGAACCTTTGAGAACCTTTCAGCTCTGTCAATAAATACATCAGCTGTTCTTCAACGGCATCTATGAACGTAGAAATGCAACACATTCGTTGCGTTTCAAATATTCACCGCCAGTACTGACAACTATAGTTCATGTTACATGTACTACAGGTTTTCAGCACTGCCAGTGCATTTTGAAATTGTCATTATTGCAGAATGATACATTATCAATAATTAAAAACAAAAAAGAGAGTCTTGCAAAACAACGAATGTATGTTTTCTTCTTCAATATTTTTGATGTTATTTTCTTTTTGCTTTTTTTATAATATTTTATAATTTTACAGATTTTTCTTTATGTTGCAAATATGAGAGACAACACATAGTTTAATAATATACAAATAATTAAATTTTACAAATTAATCCAAATTAGTCCACTCGACTTTATGGAAAGATAAATATTTTTCTTTTTGTCTTGTAAAATATGAAATATTTATATAAACAAAACTAATTACAATATTTTATAGTTTGTAACATGATAACTACGTTGTATCACGTAGTCAGTTACTTTTCACGCGATCACGTGACAAGCATCTTTTACAAACTTCAAGCGCGTATGGTTCGATTTGTTCGAATGACGAAGCCATTTTGTTGCAACCCGCTCCGATGTAACACGCTTCCTCGAAAAGTGCCTTGTTTTAACGCCCGAACGAGATTTCTACGAAAGGTGTTTCGCTCTACGTGTATAATCACGCTCGTCCATCATACTGCATGCCGAGGCAACGATCGCCGTCCGACAAGCGTCCACCCGAGAAGCGTCCACCCAAGAAGCGTCCGCCCGAGAAATCTTCGTCTCGGTAAGTAAAGTTTGCACTTACTGTTTGTCCAGGTTATAGATTATTATATCGCTCGCTTGTGTGCGCTTTTCAAACACGGCGCTAATTGAATTTAATTTTCGAGACTCTGCGAAGAGCAATCAACCACGATATATATCAACATAACCAATTTCCGCATGATTGATAAAATATACACTTGATAAAACATGCACAAATTAGACGAGATACCTACTAGACGCATTCGAATAAAAGAGAATTAGCAAATCATTGCCATCTTGAAATTGCTTGTCGCAAAAGCTTGTCGGCTAATTACTGAAATTACTGAAATAATTCGGCTTGCAATTTTATTTGGTCGTATATATTTCTTACAAAATCACAATGCCGAGAATCTTTTATTTTACTGGCGTTGGGCATGAAATCTTGAAACTCTGAAATGATACTATATATATATAATATGTATAACTTTTTAATTAATATTAATTAGTAACAATTACTGCTATTATATTATTGAATGTCATATCAATTAGATTTACAGTGTATTCTTGATTCTACATTTTAGCATGAAGACTTGCCATAATTTAAGACAAACACACATACTCTTTTTCTTATTTTTTAAATATAATTAATTAATTTTAGATATAATTAATTACAATTATAATTAATTATAAAATTTCCAATTTATCTAAGTTATTCTTTTTCCTATAATTTTTTTGTAAAATGTTGTTCAAAAAATTAATCTGATTAATTTAATAATTTGACAATCAATAATACAATCGGAAGAATATTAGTATAATATAAATATTTAATTGGAAATATATTTATACACCGGTTTTATATCGATTGATATTTTTATTTCGATTATTAGCCGAAAAATATTGCTATGTATTTTTTTATACCGGTTTGAATTCTTGAATTAAAGCGGATCTAATTTATTTATATATTTTTTTTAATAAACGACTCGCGTGACCATTTAAACGACTTTTCGATCGCATGTGAAATTCCTATTCACGCGCGCGTAGCAAATTGAAGAGAATTAAAGAGAGGTCGTCATTAAATTGCACAATACCGCGGCCGCGGATCTCTTACAAAATCGTGAAATAATGACTAGAGCGCCGCGTATTATACCTCCTCGCCGGTACCTAAGCCGGCATCGAGCTTCTCGAGACGTTCGACGAAGATTGCGTGCCTCGGGTTCTCGGGGGCCCGAATTAAGGCGGGGCCCGGGCCTCGTCGAGACTTCAATTTCGCGCTCGACGATTCTCGCAAGAACCTGGTGCGCCCGGTGTCGCGATTCTCCGAAAGTGAACGATATCCCCGCGAAGAATGAATTCGACTCGTGTTTAAAGCAAACTGCAATCGAGATGCACGAGAAGCGAAAATCGCATAATAATACGGCAATACAGGCTTCTGCCGCATTGTTTTTCAATAGCTAATTCTTTGGCTAGACTGGAACCAATCTTTACCTCAATGAGAATGTCGGGACATTTGCAATTTTCAAGTAATTAATGATTTAATTGGCAGTTTGAGCATTTTTTGAGGAATTAATCTTCAGGAAAGAGAATAGATAAGAAAATTATATTTTATCTCGTTTCAAGTGAATTATATTTCAATCGAATTTGTATTTTATTCGCGTTGTTACGAAAATGTATAATAATTGCAAAATTGACTTTAAATTGGCCGAAAGAATCGTTATTAAAAATTATGCGGCAAAAGTAGGACGTTCTATGCGTTTAGGCCACGCAATTTGTTCAATTGGCTGTTACGAAATTGCATAACATTTACTTCCTATTTTTTTCCGATGAAAGATGTTTGAAATATTTATTTTGATACGATTTAATACAAAATCAACAGGAAAGTAAAACGAAACGATTTACTATTTTTATTTGAATTCTAATAATTTTCAGATTTTAATATTTTATTAATTTTGCATATAAAATATTGTTTTATAAATGTGATATCAACATCGAATTGAAAATATTATAGACAACTGTGAGTGCTATATTTTTTTGAAAATTATTACTTCTTGAAAAAAAACTATAAAGCATAATCATATCGTAAACTGTTGTTAACGCCACTTATATATGCATTTCTCATGTTATAAAATGAAAGATAAATTTAAGGAAGTTTGTTCTGTCAGAAAAATGATATATGTAGAAAAGTCGACACTCCGGTCTTTAACGATCCTTTCGATCTCTTTTATGTCGTGTCTTTATTTAGCGCCGAGTCGTTCGAGGGGATTGCGCAGATCTTAACGGGCGATGTTGTAAAATTAACATACGAACTCCCGGGCTACTTATCGCAGCATCCACACGAGCGGCGGTGCTCGTTCGGCGAATTGCTATCGTCGTCATACCGACGTAACGATTCGTACACGTGCACCGCAGCTTGCACGGACAAACGGATCAAGGATTGACGAAACCAATTTAGATCCACGACTCGTCTCTTTGTATGGCCTATAATAGCGCGCGTTATGTGCTCCGCTGCGCCTCGTATGGTGATTGTTCTACTAGCCCACTTAGAAAATGTTTCAAAGCGGTTGCGTGTGTGCCAACGATAGACGACAGAATAGCTATGAGTGCAAGATATGATATAATCGTATTTTTTATTATCGATTTATTAACTGCATTGCCATATAGATATATATTTTATATCAACATTGAAAAGTGAGATTTATTTTATGATTTTTGGATATAATTATATTTTTTTTACAAATAGAATTATTTTATTGAAGATATCGATGTCTAATAACTTTGCATTATAATTGCAATAATTAAATTGCCAAAATCTAAGTTGTATTATACTAATAATGAAGTCGCAATTAATGTTGTTCGACTTAAACTTCAACTTTTTATTTAAAGCAAGTCTCATTTTTTAGATCCAGTATTTTTTTTGCGTGATAACATATCTACTCAGTCAGCCGATAAAGAGCACAAAAATAAATTATGGGAGAATCGCTAAGTATAGACCACGATCGATCGTCCATGTGCAATCGGTGTCTTACATGATAAACCATAAATTATCTCTTCTACGTGCTCGATGCCGAAAACGCGTGGCCGGATGTACGTTTTAACCTCATGGATATTAATGACGAGCGTTCTACGGCCATGAGAGTCCCCGTGTCCCGCGACTGACGTCCGACGGATGTCATATGCATGAAATCGCGCGGCTGAAAGTTATCCTTACGATGCAACGCTCATTAAATTATCTTCCCTCCTCCTGGGAGTTAGTACGTTTCGCGTGCCGAATACCGATGTCACGCGTCGCGTCATGTCCTACGACAGTAAATCACACCTATTTGTCTCTTCGTGTCGTGTTTTCCTCTGCTACCAAATGCACGTAAATAACCTGACCACATTGGTCCTCTGACATCAACATCGAATAGCACAAGGTGAAATTAAATTAGATTATTATTTTGATGTAGTCGGTTATCTTTTATTTTGCAATTAAACTACAAAGTTACATATAAAAAATAAATTACATACAAGTTATATATAAAATGTTTCAGCATTCGCAATTGTCCTTTTAATGATGGATTTTTTGATCAACTAGAAGTAGATTTTTTTTCGCAGCGAAAATGTCGAGGAAGATCATCTTTTATCGCGCTTTTCCAATTTCCCACATTATATATCTTTTTAAATAGCTTCGAGCTTTAAATTACAATTTTATTAAAGTTTAGTTGAAATTAATTGCAAAATATAACTCTGTTATTTATTTCTAAAGCACAATTTCTTGTAAGCCTTTCTATTTTTATTACTTATTAATGTCTCGACATTTTTACTAAGAAAAATCGATTTCAAGTTAATCTGATAATCTATTATTAAAAAGATGAGTGAGTTCTGTGAGTTTTATCATCTTTATAAAAATTAAGAAGTCTCAATTTTTTTACGCATTAATAAGTCGAATGTAGTAAGTCGGTCGACGATTTTACACAAACATGTTCACAAATATTTATCGCGGTTGATATTTTTATTGCGGTTGATTCTTATTGTGGTTGATATTTTTATCGCGGAGGAATTGCGCGCATTTTAACACGAATGACGAAATAATTAAAAATAGTTCCTTTTACTCACGGTTCAACTCATTTATTATAAGCTTAACTTATTTATTATATACTTTTACTCGCCTGTCGCGGCGTCGCCAGGACTTCATGAATCACACGACGCGATAAGCGCGCTTGCACTCTCCCATTATTAATCTCGGGTTAGCTAATCCCTCGCA